TGTATTTGATGATAACCAGAAGGGCAAATGACTATTCCAAGAATTTCTTATAATAGAGATTGCCTTGTGTTTCCTATGAATCAGAGACAGACTTTCTCTCCTATCCTGTACTCACAAGACAAAACCTAAATATGGGGCCATGTTGAGTCTTACATGAAAGGGTCACCAAATTAGGTCAATGTGTCTCAGCAGACTAGATATTATTTTAAGGCCAAATGTATACAAGACAATCTCATTTGTAATTGCAACTTGTGAGGCATGTTTCTTCAGCAAAATAGGTGCAGTGGAATGAGACAAGAATCTAACTTCTTTTCCCTTAAAACTTTCCATTTCTTCCAATAATGTTTAATGTTGTGCTTTTATATAACAAATTAAAAAACCTATTGCCTTGTTTCTTCTGTGTATACACTCAAGTATAATCATTCCTTACATTATCAATTCCTTTCTTAAGTTCAGTTCCCAAAACATCTCAATTGGTCAATGGTCTCCACTGTCATCATACCCAGAACCTATTTTTTGTATGTATATTTCTTTTTCTTTTAATAAGAAAAACAAATGTTTATCCATAACACCAAACAGCAATTATCTGGGAACTTCATTAAATGAAGGGAATTTTGCTTATTATGTAACATTTAGACTTCACACAAAATTCATGACATGCCTTCATTAATGTCTTTCTATATCTTTGGGGCCTTTTAAATGACTGCTTATACATCTCTTATTATATTCATGCTTATAGATGTTGTACTTTAATTATTGTAATAAATTAATAATTACTTTATATTAACAAATTTTATTTTAAAAATTTCCAAGCATGTCCTAATAAATAATAGATGGCTAACATTATAGTTAAAATTCCTGATTTTGAGTTCACTGACTTTTCTGGTGTAAATATTCCTATCATGGCTGTTTTAAGCTATCACTATCAATGATTTTGAGTAATAATGAATTAGAAAAATAGATGCCACAGTTATGTTGTGAGTAGCTATAATACATTTTTGGTACTTCACATGTTTTCCTGTTCAATTTTACACGGTTACAACCATTTGGAGAATATAAACTGCACTTCAGAAAGAACCTTGAACATGAGAATAATAAAAAGAATTAGAAGCCCCAAACTTCTAAGGAACAGGCAATGATTTTTTTAAAAAAAAATCAAATCATATGACCCTTAAACATGTATTTTTTCTCTGAATTAACTACTCACTAAATGTTCCCTCATAGGCCCTTTGATTTTATGATGTATTTTTCTTTTCCCCTTTCTGATTAATCTTTAGCTGGACTTATAAAAGAAAAGTGTAGTTCATATCAGATGTTCAAGCCCACCGTACTTGATACACCGAATGCCTTCACAGATGTCTCTGTGTGTTAAGAACATTTCAAGAGAAACTACTTTGAAGGGGACCCTGCAAGTGTCCAGGCAGGGAAACAAACTGTGAAGAGGTGGGAATGAAAAATTGGTTCAGACTCACTTTGTCATCCAGGATCACACTTGGAGAGTCTGATACCAAGTGGTTCGTTGTCAGCATATTTAAAACAAAATACAATTTGGGAAAAAGTTACCAGGCAACATTCAGTCCAATTCCAGATGCACAATAAAGAAAACTCATCCAATGACTGAAGGAACTGGATGCAGAGATCCACGTCCAGGCCCCAAGTGGAGCTCCAGGAGTCCAATTGGCTACAAAGAGGAGGGTTTGTAGGGTTTGTATGAGCGAGAATTGTTGAGACCAAGATTGGAAAAAGCACAAGGACAAATAGCCAAACAAATGGAAACACATGAACTATGAACCAATAGCTGAGGAGCCTCCAACTGGATCAGGCCCTCTGGATAAGTGAGACAGTTGATTAGCTTGATCTCTTTGGGAGGCATCCAGGTAGTGGGACCTGGTCCTGTACTCAGTGTATGTGCTGGCTGTTTGGAACCTGGGGCTTATGCAGGGTCGCTTGGCTCAGCCTGGGAGGAGGGGACTGGATCTGCCTGGACTGAATCTACCAGGTTGAACTCAATTCCCAGGGGAGTCTTTGTCCTGGAGGAGATGGGAATGGGGGGTGGGCTGGGGGAAAGGTGGGGAGGGGGGAGAGAACAAGGGAATCTGTGGCTGATACGTAAAATTAAATTAAATTATAAAATAAAAAATGGGATACAGTCCTAAACAAAACAAACAAACAAACAAAAAGACTACAATAGAAACTCTTTTACAAACTCTTTTACATGTGACCATGATGGTAGACTCTATAGCTAAAAGGCCTGGAATCTGATATTGTCTCTGACTTGAGATAGCATAGTGTTCAACAACCATACAATACATGTGACATTGTAAACCCCTTGCCTTAACGCTGGACCCAGCTCTTGCCCTACAGAGTAAAAAGCCCAAGCTCTGAACTTGAAATCCCACCAACCCCGACCCTGAAAAGCTTCACCCTGAAAAGTTCTACCCTGGGACCCCAAAAAACTCTATGTAAACTCAGCCTTCTGCTCAGTTCGCTGTCATTTGTTGCCTGAGCAAAGGCAGCCGACCTCCTGGTATATTTTTCCCCCTCCCAATAAATCCCTTGTGTGGGATTTGTTGTGCGGTGTGACTGATATTCCTTGGCTGCGTCCCACCAGGATACTTTCCCATCCAGACTGTAATGTTTAGAGATATCCGCCACCAAGTATGGGTTGTATTAATTGGTCTAAAGATAATGGGCTAGGGAATTGAGAGTCTGAGCTAAACATTTTAGGTGAGCTCTACCTCTAAGCACAAGATGGATGAGATCATCCCCCACAGATAGCAAAATGGTAATTGAGGTCTGTGCCACAGATAGCAAAAACATCACCAGGTTGTTAACCATGTCTACTCCTAGCTTTCTGGGCAGAAAAACAGGCATTTTATTTCCTCCATTGAGGAGAGGCCACTGTGTTTTTAAAATTGCTGGTTTCCTTGTGATCTTTGAGCAAAAAGTCCTTTGTGTCCTCAGCTCCACTTAAGACAAATAATAATTCTAAGAATCTTGCAATATGTTGCATTCTGGGAATATGCCTAAAGTTTCTTCCATTATCTACTCTTGGGTATTAGTGGTATATTTATTGGGTCAAAGCTGAAATTTACAATAGATCAAAAACACTATGAAAATTTACTTTAATTTGAAATCTTTATGCTTGATTATATTGGGGAAATATTATTATTTGGGAAAAGGTTTCCAGGCAACAATCATTCCAATTCCAGGTGCACAATAAAGCTTAAGTTATGGTTACATAGAAATTCCTTTACAAAGTACATGTGACCAACAACAGAGATTTACATCTTTATATTTGTGAGGATAGGCATCCCATAGAAATTCATCAGTTGGGTTGGCCTCTCCTGAAGTCATTTTGTTGTAGTGTAGATTGTTTAATTATCCTTTATGTTTATCTGAATTTTAATTTCTTCCTGTGGGGACATTAGTTATGTTTGATTGGAAGCTTCCCCAATTACTTTCTAACTTCATTATTTTTTAGAGATCTGTTTCCAAGCAGAATTCCATTTTGAAGATGGTTAAGGTTTCAGCCTAAGCGTTTGGGACACAAAATTTAGTCCATATCACATGCCTTGAAATTCACCCCAGCAATGGGCATAACAGTAAACACCTTTAATCCTGGCACTTGGGAGTCAGAGGCAGGCAGAACTCTATGAGTTTGAGACCAGCATGGTCTACATAGTTAGTTCTAGAACAGCCGGAGAACAACGACAGTGATAATAATTCATTTTAGCATCCATTAGTTGATAATCTACTTCATCTGCCTTGCTAGTGTACAATCTTGTGTTTCTCCTTTAGTTTTGTCAGCTTATTTCTATGGATTGATATTTGGTGAAGGGAAAGTAAAATCACAAGTTCAAATGACTGTTATCTGTGGTTTTCAGATGTTTCCAGAGGAGACAGCACATGACCAGTGATCATGATAGTGCACTCATCCATCCTATGCTGAGCCATGTGCATATACACGCATCTTAAGGAATAAACTGAGGTGTTGTTAAACGTATCATTCATTGTTTGACTTACTTCAAAAGGCTTATCTCTATCATCTTAAAATTGTCTCTTGACACATAACTAAATGTTAATGTTAATTTTTAAGTTAAAAATGAAAACATCTGGAAAATATGTAAATTCTCTGTGATCAAAGCATCATGTGTTCTTAAAGCTCTACATACAAAGTGACTGTATTATTATGTTTATTTGTGTCTGATTTGTAGTCTTATCATCTACACAGAATTTAACAAAGTAGGTAAAAATTAGTCTTAAAGTATCATGTTGTAAGAATAATTTCTGTGAATATATTCTATTCTTTCCTCTTTGACGCCTTAGCCCACACAACTACTACAACTGTTCCTTTTAATTAAAATGGGAAAATATAGTACTTATAAGCTTAGTCTTACCCAGAGCCAAGAACAAAATCTATAGCCACCATAATGGGAAATGCTCTATAGAATGGAATAAAAGTGATAAATTGGTAAATACATGGTATAATTATTGGATCCTTTTTCTTATTTATCTTTTATCAGTGACAAGAATATACAAGAGATTCCCAAAATGTTGTTGAATAAAATATGAAAAACTATGAATTTCATAAGAATCTTATATTTTAAAAATATTTGAAATTAATATACCCTGATTCTTTTTTATTCTCTCTTCAAAAGAATTAGTAACAATCTTCTAGATATTTTCTTTCATGGGCAATACATAATGTAATAAAAAAATTATGAGGGAGGGAATGGGATGGGAGGATGGTGGCGCTCATTCAGGCATGTGTGCCTGAAGTGTGTAGAAGCCAGAGGATAACCTCTGGTGTCATTCTCAGGAGCAGTCCACTGATGTTTTGAGACAGGGTTTCTGACAGGCCTGGAAATCACTAATCAGGGTAGCCTATCTGTCCAGGCAGACCCAGGGACCCTCCAGTCAGTTCCTGACCTGTACTGTGATTGCAATTGTGAGTCATGAATCCATACTTTCCTATGTGGATTCTGAGCATCACTCTCATGTCCTGGAGCTTGCACATTAAGGACTTACCAACCTAACAGCTCCCAGCCTCAAGAAACCCAACTCTTCATAAAGCAGCTGTATTAGGAGATAATCTTTAGCTATCCGAGTAAGTGGGTACTCCTGGAGAGAAGAAACTGAACAAGTGTCCACTTACTCTATTTTCTATTTTCTCAATTCTCTATCTGCTTGAAATTCTATTAATGTCTTTGCTTAAAGATTCGACCTATATTTTCACCAGTCTTGGTCTGCATATTTTTTCTGTACTATGTTAACATTTGTTAATATTTTTGAGTCAGAATTTCCCTTCATTATGTTTTAAGTACAGTTGGATATTTTCACTTTCTATTACATATCAACTCAAATGAGATTTCCATACTGTTGCTCATAAATCTCATAAATCTCAAATGAGATTTTCATACTGTTGCTATTTCCCAAGTAGAGGAAAAAAAGAAGTAGAATGTGGACACCTGGTTGGCTAGATTCACATACATTTTATCATAATATATGAAAATCATCAATGACTCTATAGTTTGGTTTCATATGTATATGAGTTATTCTAATGAAAGGATACAGCAATCCAGCTGTATATCTAGCCAAATATTCACAAAAAAATTTCCAGGATGTTTCTATCAAAATAGCAAAAGAGACAAATATTTTGTGTTAATATGTGTACATGTCAGGGTAGAGGGATGGGACTGGAGGGTCTTTAGGATACACTTAGGTTATAGGGAGTGCTATTAGAGGGGGTGAAGTCCCCGTGAAAGACATTTAGAGGTTACTTCTACTTTTTCTGTCCTGTAAGTACTAGCAGCTTGATCTTGAGGTTCTCAGGTACCAACATGGTAAGAAGTCTGATTCTGTAAGCTATTATTTTTACTACCCAGGCTAGGACATTTTGTTATTTACAATTACATACTCATCATTTACATTTGTGATTCTTAATTACAACATTACTATTATTGCCAACACAATCATAATTAGCTGAAGGCACTGGGTTCTAGGTGTGACTAGATATACACTATGTGAAAGTTCCTTTCTTACACTTTCTTTCCCGTGTCCCTGGTATGCCTTTGGTGATTTAAAATTATACCGAGCTTCTGTCATACATAAAGACATTTTCTTTAAAATCTATGGGCTTTTGATGGAGAAACTTTCCATAGTTCCTGTAGAGAGAGCAGCACAATGCCACCAGACCTTACTTAATAGGTTCTTCGTCCAAAAAGGAATTGTTTTCTTCCACGCTACCATGCCACTTCCGTAGTCCTGTTTTATTTTGCTTCCCCGTGTCTCCTCTTTGATGCTCACCTTATCTCTATTTGCTCTCATGATTATTTTACGTGAATCATAGACACAAGGGCTGTGGGGAAAATGACAGGTCATTGTATTCAGACCTCTGTACCCAGTGCATGTTATTGCCAGACACTTATATTACTCCCTTTAGAATTATGTTTAATCTCCTTCGGAATGTCTTATTGATGCTTCCTCAATGACCTCTTTGGGTAGCTATTCCATTGCTAAATTGCTCTTGCTTTTAGGACACTTTCTCTTATAAGTAATTTAAACATGCCCTTCTTATTTCCTGTAAAACATTCTGAGTCAACTTCGAATGATTCTTCACTCTACACTGTATTACCCTGTTCTTCCTAGGAAAATGCCACAAGCCACAGGAGGCAAGCCCTCCTTTCAATATGTTAGTCATTCAGGAAAAAAAAAATCTAACAGATGTGTGCCATTCCCTCATCTATGAAAAGAATATCAAAAAATTATTTCAGTTATAATATTCTGTGGTTCTATTATGCCTACATATTGATTAAGAAATGTATACAATAGTATCTCTTTCAGTTTATAATGGTGCAAAACTTCAATTTTTTTGTGCTTGTATCTATTTTATTTTTAGGTTTTAACCATGTAAAATAAAAAATTGTGTATTTTAAAATGGGTATGCTTATTGAGTCCCTTGTATCACTTTGTATATTGTTTGAAGTTTTTATATATCAAAGTTTTGCTTCTAGATATTTGTTTCAATTTTGCTTTAGCACTTTTTAGGACGCTGCAGGATTCACATAAATACCTGATTAAGAAGATTTAGATTATAAACAAAATGAATATTTACTGGAAAACTTTTCTTGTAATAAACCATCGTGTAAGGCAGAGTTTTATCATTGTACTTTTCAATGGTTATGTAAAATATGCATCATGTTCTATCAAATGCAATGTGTGTGCCTGATCCCATGCCTTGGTTGTGTCTCTTATCACCTGTTATTTGGATATTGAGTACAGTCTTACAGTGATCTTCCTACTGTCCATTTTACTCTATACACAATTTGCTGTCTGCTCTACCTAACAGCAGTCTCTTCATGAGGTATAAGACTGCTCATGCCACTCTCTATTTGTTTCATTGTGTTTGTGATGCTATAACAAAATACCCAAGCTAGGTGGCTTAAACAATAAAAATGATTTCTCTCACAGTTATTTAACCTTGACATTGAAGATCCTTGGGCCAGTCTGTTATACTCTGGTAAGTGATTTCTTCTTGATGGATTGATTGACTTTCACACTGAATGCTTACGTTGTCTTTTCTCCATTCAGGTATGTATGTATTCTTATGAAGCCACTGCCTTGTTCTATTAGGACTTCACTCACAAGTTCATTTAGTTTTTTACTACTTATCTTCTAAAAGATTTCTCTTAACCAGTCTCCTTAGCAGTGAGGATTCTATCATATTAATTTGGAGAATGGAGAGACAATTCAGTTTGCTTTACCCACAGTCCTCTATCGCCCACCTTATTAATGTTATGTATCTAATTATAGCACCTAAGTGTTTGTATTATCTTACATCAACCTGTCTCCTCTGACTCACTTTGAGTCACACTTGACTCAGCAAGAAGCACTCAATGTCCAATGTTTACCAGTTCTCCCAAATAAACTGTGTTATCTCTAGATTTGCTGCCTTGACTATCTTCACACACACACACACACACACACACACACACACACACACACACAACTAAGATATTTCTTGTTTATCTTCATAAACACATTTCTGATAACTTCTCCAAGAAACTTGCAATTGGAGCAGAGAGAGGTTATGTTAGTACTCGGGAGAGAGACTAAGGCAAGGGAACATCTGCACATTCAAGTCCAACCTGTACTGCACATAATAATTGTCTCCAGTAAACAAATGAACTAAATTAAGAAGCAGTGAAGGAAGTCTGAGCAGTAAGGGTTTTCTTTTTATACTGTATTCACTATTATCTTATCACTTTTGATGAGTTATGCACCACCCTTCTTTACAAGTAAGTATTATATCATGTTATAATAGTTTGTTCACTTGCTAACTTTCCTACTAAGTTATGAATTAATTTGAAGGCAGAGCCCATGTTATTATTATTATTATTACTATTATTATTATTAAAAAATTCTATTTACCAGTACTTAATGTTAGACAGTTAGATGCTCAAATTTTCCTTTATGGAAAAACATTTCTAGGATCACCTATAACTATATAAACTTACACATATGACAAATCAAAGGGTCTGTTACAAACTGCAAGGTTTCTTCTTTTCGACGAGTGTGTTGAATAATGTTAGAGATCATGTAGATCATGGATACAGCATAGCGAGGGTGTTAACAGTTTCTAATTGTGAAGAAAACATTGGAGGACTGAGACAGAGGACAGGACAGAGAAAGACAAAATAAACAAATGTGTTATCACTTATCACTGCAAAGTGATATATTCTGAGAGATAAAACATTACAGTAGCAAAAAATTTGGCTTTGCTCTCAACGATTTTGAGTTCCTGTTGCCATAGTCACTTGGTATCCAATCACTTATGAGGGAGACAGTATAACCCCTTTTACAATAGATGAAGTCTGAAGCTGTCCTACCTGCAGAGTGGGCGTGACTTTGCCTCCCTCTCACTTAAATCCTGTTTAAACTGAACCTCACTGTACTGGGAAGGAAATTATAGCATTTCCATCACTGAATACACCATAGCAGCTCAACGAAGGATGTAGGTTAAGTGAAAGACATGTCTGCTGGCCTAGAAAAAGACCTATCCTTGCTATATTTGCCGTGTATGCTATTTTTGTTTTATGGTATGCTTCATTGGGTAGATAAGTAGATGCACTAGAATATCATTAAGTATTTTAATCTTTCTTGAATTCTACTCCTAGTACCAGGGGATTTGAAGTAAATTCAGGCAAGTGCAGTTTCTCCCAATATGCATATATCTGTCAAGCCCCCTTCCCAAGCCCATCAGAACTGCCATGGCTTCTTCTCACTAGGTATTCATATGGTAGAAGAACAACCATTTCAGTTCTGTTAAAAGCCCATTATGCACACCTTTCTATTCTCTAGATATTATGTTCATGCCAACCTTTCACCTTAAAAATGAATTTTTAATAACAGTGAGTCTCCTCTAATATTTATGTTCTTTAGACAAAATAAGTGCAGTAATTAGAAGTAAGTTTAATAATGAGTTTCTGTATATATAACTATCAATTGCCTTTAGTGTTGCTAGAAAGAAGAAAGAATATTAAGAATGTTGCCAATAAATTACAAAATGATCCATTTAGATTAAGAAAAATATTTTCTAGTCAATAACAATATATTTTCATTGTTGCATTATTTCCAGAATTTATATATATATATGTGTATATATATATATATATACATTATAGGTACATGTGGATAAATAGAGGTAAAACACTATAGTTGGATATCTCAGTGACAAGACAATTGTCATTGCATCTGAAAAATACAACTGTTGTTCTTGCTTTAGGTGACATATATGTCTGTGGTTTTGAACTGATGACCTGCTGGTACTTCACAAATAGCAGGTAAACGACATTCCCTCAGAATTGAAAAAAAAAAAATTAAATGTCAAACTGGATGTGAAGTTGAGAACTCTAAGGGTAGTGGAATCTAGTATTTAAGAGGGTGAAGAAATAAGCAAAATGGCCCAGTCATAAAAACTTACCCTAAGAGAGAAAATAGCTGGGAGTGAAAAACCAGGTTTTCAGAGCACAAAGATAAGAGGATAATTGGTTCAGAGGAAACACTTGTACCTGAAGTAGAGAAAGAGTAGGTTGATAACCCTTGTGGGATGATGAAGGAACACGCCAGTGCTGTCCTCCTAACCATGGAGGCTGGGATGGCCCTAGCATTACAGACTCTATTGTGAAAGCTAAGGGACAGAAGAAAGGAAGCCATTATTCACTTGGAAAGGAACTAAAATGATTTCTGGCTGAAGAAAACTCAGTCAGGATTGAAACTATGTGGAAATAAAAGGATAAAGAAATATTAGAGATAGAAAATTAAGATTATTAATAATTTTAGAGCAATTACTGAAAGAATCATATCAAATGATTGAGTTCACTCATATTTCTATTGCTACTAAACCTAAGTATATGATGTAAGATTAAATGAAATCAGTGATCGCTTTTCTCCCTCTTCCTCTCAATCCACAGACACTAATCAGGCAAAAGCCTAGTGAGGAGACCTCAGAAAACAGATTAAATAACTTTATCATGGGCACAATACTAAAGAGTGACCAAAACTATCATCTGGACTGTGATAGCGTGCCTATGAACTCACTACACATAAGTTGTATACTTTAAGGTATCTGAGAAATATCTTGTCCACTACTAAACAACTCAGTCTTGGAAAAGGATTGTAATTCTCAGATAAACCCATGATAGATAACAAAACTCTGCCTACTGCTATGACCTCAAGTATTACGTAGCGCACTTTCATACAATCATATCAGTCATATGCTTGTACCAGAGACACCTGAAAGCACATATGTCTCTGTACTCCTGGTAGCCCATTCACAGCATCAGGAGGTCTCAACATCATTCTTTCTGATGTAATTCAAAGACATATGCTTCACATTTGTACTCCATATTGTCAGTCATATATACATGTTAATTATTCATATTCTCTTTAAGTGAAGCCAGAAAGAACACTTTCTCCAAACTGATGCTATCAGATGTTTCTTCCAAGGAATTCATATTTTTATTCAAATGCAGGAGTTACAAGATTAGAAAAGTGGGCTGACTTTACAACTTTCTATCTGGTGGTATGTGAGAACCAACAAGAAGTTGATTTACAGAGAACCTGTCTATTATATGTTCTATGGGGTGAAGCACAATTTAATTATATATCATTTATAATTTGGGGCATTTTCTGTTTACTATTTCCAATCTAGCTTTAGCTTAATGTTGATTATAGCCCACAGAGTCCCATGTTCAAATGTATGTTTATGTCATTAATTTTTCCTATGTTTGTCTCAATCCAGAATTGTAACTAAAAGTTGCTACATTACTTTCAGAATATGAGCATTAAGAATTAGAATATTCAGATTCATTAGTAAAACAGATAATCTCAGTAAAATGTGGCCAAGGCTTATCATTTCTCAAGGCAACAGTTATTTCTGAAACTGAACAACATTAAATGGGACTCTAACACATACTTCCAAAGTTCCATATTTTGTCTTTCAAGAATGGGGTCATTTTATTTCAGTTTGTTCACATCATTAATATGTTCCTATTTCTCCTTGTTATAGAAACTTTTGATCTGAATCTTTGCCTTATTAGAAAAACTTTGTTGTGAAGTCGTCTTCAAATTTTTTGTGGGAGAACAGTTTTGTTCTATTTTCCTCATTTCATAGATTGCTAAACTATCATTTGATATTTGTGTGTTTGTGTATGTAAGAATGTGCATATTTTGCATGCAAGTGATATTAACTGTCTAAAATAAATTATAATACTGAAAAGAAGTGAAAAATCAATGCCATCATAATTAACTCATTCAATAGCAGTGATTTTACTAGTTAAACATGTATAAGATATTTATTCGTAAGGGAGCCAAAGTGATTTGCCTACTAATAACATCCATTTTTTGTTGTCTATCTCATTATGTTACATTTTTATATTAATTAGAAATATGTGATTTTAGAAAAAAAATTGAAAATATTTGAAAGACAAACTGTCATTCATTTTTCTGAAGCAGAAGGGGAAATATTTTAGAGACTAAAATTGAAAACTGTTCCCTTCAAATAGTGTACCACAAATCCACAAATAGAGTGTGGATTATCATCTATATATACTTTCCTTAAGGACAAGAAAATAAAATTACATAAAATAAAACAAAACACATATTTGATTCTTCCAGGAAGACTTAACAGTATTTGCATATCATTATAATCTCTATTGTTGCTTCTCTCTTTAGGATGATATTTAAATTTGGAGATGTATTTATTATTTAAAATAACATAATATAATAGAAATGGTAGGAACCCTCAAGCCACATCTCTAATATATAAGAATTGTGTCCTCATATGACATTAGTAACATAAACTAGGGAAAAATCAAATTTTTATACCTGGTTATAACAATCTCATAGCAAGCCAAGCTGAGAAAATATCATGGAGAAACTGGGAACAATTAAAACATAAAGACAATGCACAGTAGAGTTATTACTTTGCAATAAACATTTTATTTCTGAAGCATTCCTTTTTCTCATTGATTTTACTGATTTGCTTGAAACATCATACATAAATATATGCCTTGACATATTGTACTGTGCCTTGCATATTCATGATAGATTGTCACCTTTTTATTTTTATTATTTATGAACTTAATACACACAAAATCTACCATCCATATTTTTGGTTACTTACTGTTTTCCTTCACCAAATCTGTCCATTTGCAGATCACACATTTCACTTTAATAATAATCTGATTTTTAATATTATCTAATTATTTATGCTTTTACTAAATATAATCTTGGTTACTTTCATGTCGAGCAAATCAGATTGTTGGCTTTAGGTATTACTATATTGTCATGAACATTCTGGTAAGTGTTTGTCTCTTGCTACTTTCTATGTGTGTATATATATATATATATATATATATATATATATATATATATATATATATATATATATATATATGCAGGTATACACACAAATCTACATGCACACATGTATACATAATACTATGGTTAATCTTCATTTTTAACCTGGCTAGAATCATGTAGTAAGGTGTGAAGCACACCTCTGGGCATGTATGTGAGGGTATTTTCTGAGATGTTTAACTATAAACACCAACCCTGAGTAAGGATGGGTCTTTGTAGGCTAAATAAAAAAGAACAAAGGAGAATGCTAAATAACCACCAGAATTTTGTTTTCTTTGATTCCTGAGACTTTAGGATATAAGGAGTCCCAGCTACATGCTCCTGCTCCTGAGAACTCCACCATGCTTTCCATAACACAATTGACTGTACCTCTAAACCTGAGCCAAATAAGCCCCTTCCTCCCTTAAGGTATGCATGCCAGGTATTTGGTCATAGCAATGAAGAAAGCAACTAATGTATGCATTATCCGTTTCATTATCCAATCTTCATTTCACTAGGCCATTTTATTAAGTTGTATAAAATACAAGGTTTTTCTGAAATTCTTGAATCTAAGGATATTTAGACTTTTATAGAGACTATTCAAAGTTGTACTGTCATGTACAAACATATGATGTCTTATCTTCTTGAGTTATTTATTATAATTTATCCTATCTTGAGATAAATTAATATCTTATTCTTGAGCTATTACCTCACCCCCCTCCTCGCTCTTTCTTTCTTTCTTTTTGGTTTTTTAAGACAGGGTTTTCTGTGTAGTCCTGGCTGTCCTGGAACTCACTCTATAGACCAGAGATCTGCCTGCCTCTGCCTCCAGAGTGCTGGGATTAAAGGTGTGCACCACACTTCTTGAGTAATATAACTTCTTTTATTATTATTGAGTTACTGTGCCCTTTGTCCATTTTTCCTGTCAAGTTTTTAGCTTTTCCAGTATTGATTTTTTATGAACCCTACATGTATTGCAAATGTTAATCTTTAATTTTTTTTCAATGTTTTTGCAAGTATCCTTTTTAAGGAGCAGAGGGTTTGTTTTAGCTAACAAAGACTTCAGTCGTCCTGGTAAGGGTCACTGGCAGGAGCTTGAGGCCACCAATCCCCCTGTGTCTTCAGTCAAGTGGAATAGTGAAGTGCACTCTGCCCAGTGCTTTGAGGGGTCTGACTCACTCCTAGCACAGGCGTCCTGATGAGCAAGTGTGGGCCTGGGGACAACCTGCTCTCCTAGCTGGGTACCTAGGGCCCACAAGCTGGACCCAGGACTGCTGACCAAGTGGGCTTTCGCTGAAATCTCCATAGTAGACTGCATCTGCTCTGCTTCTTCCTGGCTGCTGAGCCTGATGGGGAGCTGCCTCCATTGGGAACAGAGGATGGGGTGATGCTGGGTAATCATCCAGCACATATAGAATGTTACCTGTATCTATATGTTTTTGTAACTAACCATTGGTTACTGGATAACCAACTCATATGCTCTTCTCTGAAGAAGAGTTTTCTCCTGCTCTCAAAATTCCTTAGTTCCCTTCAGTTGTGTGTAGGGTCGAGGCTGCTTGGGCTTTCCCCATTCACTTTGGCAAGTCTATTGGTGTTATTCTCGTTCAGCTCACTTTGAGCAGTCATGTTGAAATACTGACTTGCCAAATGATCATTTCCTTAAAAATATGAAGATTTCGCTTTTTAAAATATATGCTGGACATCCTGTGACTGATGTTTATGTATAGTTTAAAACAGTAGTTATCTAACACTTTCAACTTTGAAAACCCATGTATTTATTCACTGGGCTCTTTCTGTACTGGCTTCTGCTCTTCCACTGGCCTATTAATCTATTCCTGTGAATTTGTTCCTAATGTTGATGTGATACTGAATCTTAATTACAGCTTGATCGCATTGAGAAATGCCTAAGAGATTAGTAAAGCACACCCCTGTTTGTGCTATGATGCTGTTTGCAGAGTCAATGAT